CCCCGGGGAGGCGGGCGGTCCGTGGGCGGTGCCGAGCGTGCCCTTCCCGCCTGCGCCCCCCATCCAGGCGCACCCACAGACTTCTTAGTCGCGTCCGCTCTCAGCGGTCTCCCCAAAGAAGCAAGTCCATGCTAGATGGGTTCTAAAATGCGAGCTGAACTTAAGTACGTAACGGGTCTCTCTCTCGCTCTCTCTCTTGCCTAGGACGATGGCGGCCTGACAGTCCCACGACGGCGCTCGCTTGTTCCTAAGTTAGCTTTCCGGAGGAATTTTTCAAATTACTAAAGAGAGGGATCGGAGGCTTTGTTTATTATGTCTCTCCCGAAAACGCCCTCCACATCGCTAAATTCTGCATCGATATCGGAGAGCAAAAAGTTAAAAGCATCTGCAACCAAGGAAGAGGCCAGAGGTGAACTTCAGGGACCCGGGTTGCAGACAAACAGTCATGGCCATAGACAGAAATCACAACCATTCGCCGTTTTCTTAGTCTGAGATTCAGAATACCTAGTTAGCTGCGTTTTTCCAGCACACTTGTTTGAATTAAGCCAAAGCCATTTGCCATTCCTTTTACAGTTTTGTTTTGTGTGAGTCAAAGTCTCACTTTGTTGCCCAGGCTGGAGTGCAATGGCACGATCACAGTTTATTGCAGCCTTGACCTCCTGGGCTCAGATAATCCTTCCACCTCAGCCTCCCCTGGTAGCTGGGACAAGAGACTCATGATACCATGCCCAACTCGTTTTTTGATTTTTTGTTTGTTTGTTTTTGAGATGAGGCCTCCCTATGTTGCCTAGGCTGGTCTTGAACTCCTGGGTTCAAGCAATCCTCTTGCTTCAGCCTCCCAAAGTACTGGGATTGCAGGCATGAGCCACTTTGCCCAGCTCTTTTTACAGTTCTTATTGCATGGATTTGCTCAGATTATTCCACTCTCATCTCTAACAATCCTAGTTTCTCTTTTACTTTTAAAACAACTCAGATCCCTTCTGTTCTATAAATGCCTGAATTTGGTGCAAGTATTCTCACCTTTGAATTTATAAAAGAAAAAATTACTAAATAATCTGACAGTTTCACATCAAAAGGAAACTAGACATTCATTCTCATCTTCTTAAGGGTATCTCTGTTAACTGAGCATGTTAAGTGAGTTTTTCAGCTTTAAATTTGGAATAATGCAGGTTCATCTTTGTACCTGAGTTTTAAAATCTGCATATGACGTAAATATGAGTAGGGCAGGCAATGTAAGTGTAATGTCTCTTGGCTAGATGATTTTCAGTGTTTTAGATATTACTTGTTACTATTCTTGTCAATTAGAAGCAATGTTTCTATAGATGAGATTGATGAAGAGTCTGGGAAGCTCCATTTCACTCCAGAAACTATAGTGAGAACTTTTATTTTCCATTACTTTCTTAGGGCTTCCTGCGCTAAGGGAGAATAAAAATATGGTGGATCATTCAAAACCTCTTCCTACTTCCCTTCAGAGTGAGTTCATTCCTGAGGAAGTTCTTCTCTCTCTGACCTGTGCAGCCAATGCTGGTCCTTGTCCTGAAAACTTAATGCCTCCTAAGAAAATTAAAACCCCAAAGGTTTGTATGTACATATGTTCAGTAATTGGTAACATTATATTTTGGGTATCTGGTTTGTTAAGTGTTTATTGAGCATATATTATATAGCCCAGATAGTCTTTAATTTTTTTTTGAGTTGGAGTCTCACTTCGTCGCCCAGGCTGAAATGCAGTGGCACACTCACAGCCACCCCAGTGTCGGCCTGCTGGGGTCCGGCAATCCTTCTGCCTCAGTCTTCCAACTAGCTAGAACCACAGGCACGTGCTACCATGCCCGGCTAATTTTTTACTTTATTATAGAGACAGGTTTTGCCAAGTTGTCCGGGCTGGTCTGGAACCCGCGGGCTCAGGCAATCCACTTGCCTCAGCCTCCCAAAGTTCTGGTTCCCATCAAGCCTGGCCAATTTTTTTTTTTTTTTGAGGTAATTTTCTAGATTGAAAATGCAGATCTTTTGTTTGAATGTTTCCAAGACTTGAGTATTTCCATTTACTTGTGTTTATGTGGATTTACTTAAATGATCATTACTACTCTCTTAATATTTTTCATTCACTGTATTTTTCTAGTTTTAGTCTTTCTCTATGTTACTGAATAAGAATTTTTGTTCTCTTTTTCCCCTAGAGTATCTAAGTGCCCTTAATGTAAATACTGTACTCAAAACTGGTTAAGAATTCATTTGGTTAGAGTGCCCTCTGCTGGGAGTTTGTGTTTTTGCTTTTTCCCAGGGTACTCTTCCACGTCCTGCAGACCATGTCTGGCATCACCCCATTCAAAGGAGTAAATTCAAATACCTGATTGACCATCCCATCTCCCTAACAGGAGCTGGAAGGTAAAGAAGGAAGGTGGGGGGGGGTGTAGACACAATAGATAGAGTTATTCTTCATTTTGTATGATTGCCTTGGGAGAGGCAGGATTAGAAAAATCACATATTCATAGATAATGAAATTTGAGGTATCTTTGATGAACGAGAATACGGTCCAGAAGGGCCAAGGGCCTTCTCTTTGTGTATTATTATTATCAGCAGGATGGATACAGGTGTTGGCTTTACATAATTTTGGTTGGTACAAGATTTTTGTGCATCCCTTTATATATCTATTCCTATACTTTGCTGATTCCTTTTGTACCCTAGTAAAAGAGACAAGATCCAACAGACAGAATACCTTTAGTGCCTCTTTTAGCTGTGTGTATATCTTTTTTGTACATCTTAGAAGAAATATCTAGGCAACATAGCTTTATGATGTAGAAAACCTTGAAGAACAAAAGGTTAATTCCTCGTTCTCTTCAAAGGAGACCTTAATAGTTACACTGTTTCCTATCAAATCATCTATAAATATTTGTTGTTTTGTATCATGCCTACAAATTATTCTAAATGTCAACATTTTCACTGTAAATATTGTGACTTGCTGAGTTTCTATGTAGTGTCCATTTATCAATTTATTCCATGCATGCCTCTTGCTTAAATGTCACTTTTGAATGAAATACTTAAACTTGCCATATTTGTATAGGTTATTTAGTCTTTCTGAAGTCTCATTTTCTCATATGTAAAATGGGATAATAGACTTACCCAATTTTGTGTGCCTTAAAGGCACAAACGAGATAATGATTGCAAGAGACTTGTAAAACTATAAAATGCTATTTAAATGTGAGGTGCTGTTACTCAGCTATGATTTAGTGTAAGAAAAAGTGGCAGAAACTTGTTTTATTGACTTTTATGCCCTGGGCTTAAGTGTCATAAAGGATCTGTACTTTATTTTGTTCCTTCAGATCATGATTATAATTATTATTAATAGTAATTAGTATTGGGAGTTGTTTGAAGTACTTTGAAAAATTAATTAGCTATATCTAATGTGGCAATAAGCTGACATCAAAGTTTTAATGTTGAATGACTTCTGAGTTGGAGTTTTTTAGAATGTGAAGATCAGGTGATAGGATAATGTTTTATCCCACTAAAACATTTTTACTGTAATCCCAGAACCTGTCAATACATATCTTACATGGCAGAAGGGACTTTGAAGATGTGATAAAGGTTAAGGACCTTCAGATGGAGAAATTATCCTGTGTTATAGGTTGGGTCTAGCCTAATCACCTGAATAATCAAAAGTAGAAAGGAAGGCAGTAGAGTGGGTAGAAAGATGAGACAGAAGGAGGAGGACAGATATGAAATGTGAAAGTGATTCAACCTGCTATTCCTGCCTTTGAAGATGGAGGAAGGAGGGACACAGCAAAGAATTGCAATAGGCTGGGAATTCTAGTGACCGGACTTCTAGTGACAACTCAACCGACAACAATCAAGGAAACAGGGATCTGAACCCTACAACTGCAAGGAACTGAATTCTGTTAACAAGCCAAATAAGCCCAAAAATGGATCTTCCTCTAGAGCATTCAGAAGGAAACACAGCCCTGTCAACACCTTGATTTTAGCCCTTTGAAACCTGTTGGACTTCTGACCTTCAAGACTTCTGACCTTCAACACAATACGTTTGTGTTGTTTGAGCTGCTACATTTGTGGTGTTTGTTATGGCACCAATGGAAATCTAATGCACGTATATACAACTAATAGTATTTGTAATAAGAGGTAACTTATTCAGCAACCTCAGCTATCCAGAGTCCAGCTGGAAAGTTATAAAACAACAAAGTGAATATCCACCGAGTAGTGTTTTTCAACAACTCAGTCAGAGTTCAGGGTGGAAAATAAATCACTCTAGATGTTTCAAGAAGGAAAGACTCGAATGCAAAATTCGGATATTCACAAAATTGTTGGAAGGGCTAAAGGAGTTGGTGTGAAGATGTGCCTGGGACAAATGACTCCAGAATAGGGGGGAAGTGACCCCCCAAGGAAGCTACTACCTCCAACGCTGCCACAAGAGCTGTGAGTTCAAGAGTATGTCCCCTTGAATAGATATTTGTCCAAAGAAGATAAAAGTGTCCAACAAGCACATGAAAAGATGATCAACATCATTAGCCATTTAAGGAAATACAAATAAAAACCTTATTTCACACCACTAGGATGACCATTATACAAAAGGTGGACAATAACAAGTGTAGGTGAGGATATAGAGAAATTGGAAGTGTCGTACATTGGTGGGAATGTAACACAGTATATCCCCTTTGGAAAAGTTTGGCAGTTCCTCAAAAAGTTAAACAGAGTTGTCATATGACCCAACGATTCTGCTCCTAGGTATATATATCCAAGATAATAGAAAACATGTCTGTACAAAAATTTGTAAGTGTTCACAGCAGGATTAATTCATAAAGCCAAAGAGTGGAAACAACTGTCTATCAGTTGATGACTGGATAAGCAAAGCATGATATATCCATGTAATGAACTATTATTCAGCCATAAAAGAAGTACTGATACATACTACAGCATAGATGAACCTTGAGAACATTACTCTACGTTAAAGAAGCCAGTTACAAAAGGGCACATATTATATGTTTCTATTTATATGAAATGTCCAGAATAGGCAAATCCAGACAGACAAAATGTAAACAGGTTGCTAGTGACTGGGGAGGGGAGAGGGGAGGGGAGTGGAGAACAACTGCTAATGGGCACGAGGTATCTTTTTAGAGTGATGAAAATATTCTGGAATTAGATATTGGTGATATTTGTACAACTTTACATAATATGTGGTGTGACAGCAGAGGAAAAACATAGTTTAAGAGTTTTTCCTGAAACACCATGTGACAAGTTGTAGACAAAGTGCTTAGGAGATTTTGGGAAACATTCTGCTTCCATAAAATGAATAGATACGGCTAGTTTTGCCAGTTTCTACTTCATCTTGCTTTGAAAGTAAATGTGTTACATGGAGCTGCAGCAGCCATCTTGTGACCATGAAAGATGTGCTAAGAGAATACAATGTTATGTGTCCTTTAACCAAGTGATAGTGTATCTCTAGATGTTTTTGCTGTTTTTAAAGGCCTCTTTAAGTTTGGTGTTCTGTTAATTGCAGCCAAAAACATTTCTAATGGATATTGGGGTAGTAGCGTACAGAAAAGCAAGAACTCTGGTTTTGGACTCTAGCTTAAAGTGCCTTTTGGATAGCTAAGTGAAAGTATTGGATAAGTAGTTGCATTTATGATTTCAGGAGGTGAGATTATAAATAACAACTTGTCTCTTCTTTTTGAAGTCTCTCCAATGGGGGGGGAAATCCTAATTCCTTATTAGTGTTGCCAAACCAAACTGGGGTCTGTTTGTGCAGCACAGGAAAGCCAAACACTCACCTCAGGATAGCAGCAAGAGAAAGTGAGGCATTTATTTGCAGGGTGCCAAGCAGGGAGGATCAGTTGCTAATGCTTGAGTCCTGACCTCCCCAGTGGTTTGCAGGTAAGAATTTTTAAAGACAGGGATAAATTTCAGGAAAGCAGAAGTTATAGGCAAAATTGTAAATCAATACAAGGAGGTTTACATTGGTTTTGGCCTGAAAGGGTGGGATACCTTGAAGTGGGGGCTTACAGGTCATAGGTAGATTCAAAGATTTTCTGGTTTGCAGTTGGTTAGGGAAGAGAAACCTTGTTTAAAGTCTTGGAGTCAGCGAAAAAGAATGTTAGCTCTGGCTTGTGGATGTGACTTTGTTCTATGGTGGACAAGTCTATGCAAACCTACCCCTAAAGTCCGAGAAAGCTAAGAAGCTGAAGAAAGAGGCTGACCAATTCAGTTTATTAGAAACATTTAGTAGGGACTTATGAACAGAAACCATGTCTGTGACTTGGGCAGTGGTAAGACAAGATGGTAGATTCCCCACGCTCCATGAGACCCAGGGCTTATATACCATAGGAAGAGTGTATATGTTATTCCGAAGGGATGTGTAGGACAGTTGAAGTGCAGTATCATCAATGTTGTCTGACCTAAGGGCAAGATTTATGGTAATTACCTATTCTTACTCAAGAAACAATAGATAAATTGGAAATCCTAGAGGCCTTCCCAGAACTGGAGTTAATCAGAAGTCAACATGGTGGACTAGCATCCAAGATGGAGTTGCCTTAGCTTCCATAGACTTTCTCCAGGGCTCTCAGGAAGAAATTTAGAACAAAGAATAGCGGTCAGAGTTTAGCCCTCAGTTCTTCTTTACTTAAGGTCTGTGTGCTGGTGGATCTGTTTGGTGGGGGTCTGGGTTTCTGAAAAGCAACTCAGAGATGTGTTAAGATGTTGTCTTTAGTTTCTATGGGAAGCCAAACATCCTGTGAGTCTAGGTTCCTTGGCTGTGGTTTTAGACTACAATTACCTTCTTATCTTGAAAAGTTCTTTACTTTTGAACTTTTGGTGTTTGAAGTTTGGTGTTCCTTCCCTTGAAGGAACTCAAACTTTTCCTTTATTTTCATGCTTGGGGTGGGGGGAGGGGCTTTAGGCCCCTAAGAGGGAGGTCACTGTTTAGTCTTACTAGTTCTACACGTCCTTAATTGTTTGTCTCTTGGATACCTCTCAGTACTCATTTCTTATTATGACTCCTTTATGCCTTTCAAGCCTGTCTTAGTCTGTTCAGGCTGTTATAATAAAAATACCATAGGCCAGGTAGCTTATAAACAACAGAAATTTCTCAGAGTTCTGGAGGATGAGTAATCCAAGGTCAAGGTGCCAGTGAGGACCCACTTTCTGGTTCACAGACGACTATCTTTTTGCTATGTCCTTACTTGAAGGACACTAATTTCATTATGAGGACTGCACCTTCATGACCTAATCACTTCTCAAAGGTCCCATCTTCAAATACTGATCACATTGGGACTTAGATTTAATATTCCTAGCACCTAGAGTAGTGACTGGTATGTAGTAGATGCTCAATAAAGTCTTTACTGTATGAACCAATAACTACATTTGGCATTTATAGAAGTGAATACAGAGAAGACTTTGTACCAAAGGACTCGACTGCCTAGCATTGTGTGTGTGTGTGTGTGTGTGTGTGTGTGTGTGTGTGTGTGTGTGTGTGTGTGTTTGACTTATGTGTATTTCTTGTTAGCACTGTATACCTGGATTTCGATTTTAAAATCTAATTGGATAATTCACATTTTATTTACTTTTTTTGTTGTTTTTTTGAGTTGGAACCTCACTTTGTTGCTCAGGCTAGAGTATAGTAGCATACTCATGGTCACCGGGGCCTCGACCTGCTGGTCTCAGGTGATCCTTCCACCTCAGCCTTCTAAGTAGCTGGAACTACAGGTGCCCGCCACCATGCCCAGTTAATTTTTTGATTTATTGTAGAGACAAGATCTCACCAAGTTGCTCAGGCTGGTCTCGAACCCCTGGGCTCAGGCAATCCTCTTGCCTTGGCCTCCAAAGTGCTGGGATTACAGGCTTGAGCCACTGTGCTGGGACTGATAGTTCACATTTTTAAAAGGAGTGTTTGATATGTTTTATATTTCTTGTAATTACTGATACATTTTGATTTATTTGCTTTCTTACTCTGATTTTGCATATGTGTTCCTTTTTCTTATTTTTTTGCTAGCTTAATGGAGCTTTCTTTTTTTTCTGCCTCTTTATATGCCATTAGAAGTGGGTGATAAAACTACAAAGAAAATTAAAGAAGTGATTAGCATTAGTCAAGACAGCAGTCACTCTTAGGGTAAAGGGGTTACAGAAGGATCATATGGATCATGTGGAGGGCTTTTGAGGTAACTGCTAAAGTTTTATCTCCTAATATGGTTGATTATTATAAGTATATTCATCATATAATAGATCTGTATATATTTATTTCATGCAGTTTTTGAATTTTTGTTAAATAAAAATGGACCATTTAAAAGTAATCAAAAAGTTTAACAAGGTTGCTAGATACATGATGAACATATTCCTATACACTGGTGGTCATCAATCAGAATTTAAACAATCTCACTCACAATAGCAAAAACATAAACACTTAGATATGCTCAAAGGAACATAGGACTGAATCTATGAAAAATCTACAAGACCTCTATGGAGACACATATAACTTTACTGAAAGACTTAAGAGGGTACCTGGGTAAATAGAGAGGTGTGCCATAGTCATGAGAAGGAAGTATCAACTATAAAGATTGAAGTTATCCCAAATTAGTCTATAAATTCAGTGCAACGTTGGTTAAAATTCCAACAAGTTTCCTCATGAGATTCGACAAGTTAATCCTAAAATTTACATGGAAGAGAAAAAGGACCAAGAAAAATTAGGCAATTTTGAGCAAAGCACATTGCAGGTGATTAATACACTATAATACCACTTAAATAAAATATTAAACCATACATAAATAATACTGCATATTATTTATGTATAAAACTATGTAGTAAAAACAGATAGGGCTAGGTGACTCAGCCTGTAATCCTGCGCCTTTGGGAGGCTGAGGAGAGTGGATTGCCTGAGCCCGCGGGTTCGAGACCCGCCTGGGCAGGCGAGACCTCATCTCTACAATAGATCAAAAAAATTAGCCGGACGTGGTAGCACGCGCCTGTAATTCTGGCTACTCGGAAGGCCGAGGCGGAAGGATCACTGGAGCCCAGCAGGTCGAGGCTGCAGTGGCCGGGAGCAGCCACTGCATTCCAGTCTGGGCGACAGAGTGAGACTCCAACTCAAAAAAAAAAAAAAAAACAGATAAAACCACACATGGTAATGATAAATACCAAATTCAAGATAGGGTGAGAAGGATGAAGATTTTAAAATCTGGAACTACTTGGTTCTATCAGAATTGCAAATGCATACTTTTTAACCTAGCAATTTCACTTCTCGGTATTCTACAGACACACTCACATGAGAAATGCGTATTGGCAGAAATACTCCTTGCAGTGTTGTTTGTAATAACAAAAGAATGCAAAAAAATCTAAATGTTTAGCAATTAGGGAATTAATAATAACATATCCATGCAATGGAATATTAGGTGACTAGTTAATTAAAAAAACTCATTGTGTACTGATATAGGGTGATCTCTAAGATAGTTGTTAAGTGAAAAAAGCGAGGTGTAGAAATATGCATAACTACATAAAAGGGAGGAAAGGATGCATATACTGGTATCTATAAGATGAACATAAGTGCTTATTACTCCTTGTCAATGTAGTATTTTATCAAACATTTTTACCTTTGCCAATTTGATGGGTGAAAAATTGTATCCCTGGATAGTTTTAAGTTATGTTTCTCTTATCATGTACAAAGTTGACCATATTTTCATATGTTTAAGATCTATTTGCATTTGTTTTTCTGTGAATATGGTTTCATATACTAAGAGCTATTTGTATTTCCTTTTCTGAGAATTGTCTAGTTTTTCCATTCAAACAGTGGTCTTTTTTAAAAAATTTATTTATAGGAAATTGTCTCTTTGTCAGTAATATGACCTGAAAATGTATCATTTCACTTTGTGAGTTTTCCTTTTGAGTTTGTGTTTGGTGATTTTTGTCAAGTAAAGTTAAACAATGTATACAGTCCAATTTACCAATGTTTTTTGTTATGGCCTCTGTATATAAAATATTTCTATGTAAATGACCTGGGTCAGTGCTGTGACTTTTATTTTATTTTATTTTTTAGTTGGGGTCTCACCTTGTTACCCTGGCTGGAGGACAGTGAAACTATCACGGCTCATCACAGCCTACACCTTCTGGGCTCAAATGTTCCATCTGACTCAGCCTCCAGAGTAGCTGGGACTACAGGCGTGCATCGCCATGCCCAGCCAGTTTTTTTATTTGTGTAGAGACAAGGTCTCATTATGTTCCCCAGGCTGGTCTCAAACTCTTGGACTTAAATAATCCTCTCACCTCAACCTCCCAAAGGGCTGAGATTACTGGTATGACATACAACATCCAGCTGCTGTGACTTAATTTTTTAAAGTTTTTTTTCTTTTTTTGAGTTGGAGACTCACTCTGTTACCCAGGATGGAGTGCAGTGGCATGATCACAGCCATCACAGTCTCGACCTGCTGAGCTTAGGTGATCCTTCCACCTCAGCCTTCCAAATAGCTGGAACTACAGGCATGTGCCACTATGCCCAGTAAATGTTTTGATTTTTTGTAGAAACAAGATTTCGCCAAGTTGCCCAGACTGGTCTTGAACCCCTGGGCTCAGGCAATTCTCTTGCCTCTGCCTCCCAAGTGCTGGAATTACAGGTGTGAGCCATGGCACATGGCCTGCTGTGACTTTAAATAACAAAATTATGGTTGCCATTATAGAAATTTCAAAATCTGGGTGATAAATTGTGAATATTCAACAAATTTATTCCACAAATATAAATTATGTATACCATATGGAAAATGTGACTTTGGGTGTCTGGGAAACTCCAGGTGCTAAATAGAAGGACTTTAGAAGTAGAGGAGATTTATTTTGACTAGGGATGGCAGAATGGTTTCCATGAAGGTGGCATTTCAGTTGGACATTGAGGATTTGGATATGTGATTCTGGTGAAGAGGGCCTTCAAAGGGGGTGCTTAATGCTTGGGGTAAGAAGTGATCTAGTCTATGAAAACAATATTATAAGAAAGTTTAAGATGCATCACAGAATTGAAGATAAGACTTGAAAAAATAAATCAGACTTCAGAAATAACAATCCAAGGCAGCTCTGGGGAATTTGGTAGAAGGATCTAATGGACAATCAATTGAGGGCATTATTGTGGTGATGATTTAATGTCTGTTGTTTTCTATCTTGGAAATCTTCAACTACTTGAGATTCTGTCTCCTAGGAGAGTGTATTTGATCTGGCTTAGACAACTTGCCCACTCCTTGTTTACCAGAGGCCTTTTTTTTCTCACTTTTAAATTTTTGTTTTATGAAACTTCTTATTTTGAAATAATTTTGAGATTTCTAGGAAAGTTACAGATGTTATGAGCCTTGGAAAATATTCCAGGGAAAGGTAGTAGTAAGTCATCATCAACTTTCTGAAGAATGGTTTCCGTGAGAGAGGAGTGTAGAAATCAGACTGAGAAGAATCAGAATCAGAAGAGAGATGTGGGTAGAAATTTCAGGAAGTTTGATGTTTAACAGAAAGTGAGAGATGATAGATTGATCAATCCACAGATGATGGTAACATGACAGTAAGGGAAGATTTTTAGAAGGGAAAAAACTTATTATAGACCAATGGGAATGTTTCAGTAGAGTGGGAGATACACAAGTTAGATTCCTAAGGCTATAAACAAAGATGGAATCAAGGGCCTAAGTTGAGGAAATAACCACAGGAAAGAGAATATATCTTGACCTGAGACTGAAGAGTTTGTGATGTGAATGAGAAATTTCAGGTAGAGAAGAGGAAGAATGTGAGGGAAACTCATGTTTACAGCCTCAGCCTCCTTAGTAAAGTATTAGGTGAGGACATTCGTTTTGCCAACACAAATGACCATTTATCCACTAGAAGGATATGTGTGGTCCTTACCCAATCTTATTTAGTAGCCAGATAGAAAATTCCTCTTGTAAGTATATTTTTCTTGTTTTTTAGGGATATTTCTTTTCTGTATGATGTTAAATATGTAAAAGGGGAGACTAGGGAGAATGCAGTTTGTCCCCCATATTTGAACCGTTTGATACAGTCACATGATGGTGTTATTGTGCCTCATAAGGTAAATAAAGTATTTGACAAATAATCTTTTCTCTCTTCTTTTACTTTTTATAATCATTTCTCCAAAATATAAAGCAATGTTATACTTTAACAACCTGCATTGCCTACCACTATTTGCAACACTTTATAATTATTTATTTAAAGGAAAAGACCAAAAATACCTTATTTTAAGCCATTTTTCAAACCATGGTTACTCACTTTAATCTAGAAAATGCAGTATGGGAGACTAGATTTCTTTCCCTCAGAAAATCCACATATAAGGTTGTAGAATTCTTAACTTTGGTGTTTTGCTAAGTTGAATTTTAAATTTCCTGCTGAATTTAAAAGAATCAACAAATTTCTGAATATATGGGATACGTGTAACTAACAATAGAATCAGAGTTGTTTTTCTGATTCATAGCTATTTTAGAGATGTGTGCTCTGCTTAGTTGTTTGTCATTTACTATGACCCACATTACTAATATTGTTATTGCTCTAATCAAAATCTCTAAACTTTAAAAAAAACAGTATCACTTTGGGTTAGAAGTTAAGATTTGTGCAACTCAATTTTAAAATCTATTAATGTATTCATTCTTTTCTTTTAAGCCAAAGACACTAACAGATACTTTGATTCCTGAAGAATTTCATATTGTGTCAAGTATAGGAGTTTCAGGTTTGGAGTGTTATGATGAGTGAGTACTATTATATCTATAGAATATCTGACAAATTGAATTGTTTTATTCTTCCTAGCCATAAAAGAACCTGAAACAGTGCACTCATGTTTTTAGGGAATATCTAAATTGCAATGAGGAAGCATTTGGGCTAGCCATCCTAATGCAATTTAAGAAAGATATAGCCGGGTTCGGTGGCTCAGCCTGTAATCCCGTGCTTTGGGAGGCTGAGGTGAGTGGATTGCCTGAGCCCGCGGGTTCGAGACCCACCTGGGTAACTTGGTGAGACCTCATCTCTACAATAAATAAATAAATAAATAATTAGCTGGGCGTGGTAGCACACTCCTGTAGTTCCAGCTACTTGGAAGGTTAAGGCGGAAGGCTCCTGGAGCCCAGCATGTCGAGGCTGCGGTGGCCGGGAGTGGCCATTGCACTCCAGTCTGGATGACAGAGTGAGACTCCAACTCAAAAAAAAAAAAAGAAAGATATAAAATAAACTAATGAAATGGGCTTAAAAAGTTTGACATTTTATTGTTCTCTATCTTTTCCTGCCATTTAATTTTGTGTTTTTTAGCAAATTGAACTTTGTTCTGAATGCTTGGCTGTGTCCTTTTGGATGGTTTTCATTGTTTTTTTGAATTGGGGTCTCACTCTGTCACCCAGGCTGGGCAGCAGTGGCATGGTCGTGGCAGCCTCTACCTCCTAGGCTCAGGTGATCCTCCTGCCTCAGCCTCCCAAGTAGTTGGGACTATAGGTATATGCCACCACACCCAGCTAATTTCTTTTTCTTTTTTTTTTTTCTTTTTGTAGGATCGAGGTCTTACTACAATGCCTAGGCTGGTCTTGAACTCCTGAGCTCAAGTGATCCTCCTACCTTGAACTCCAAGCCAAAAATGATTTTGAGTAATAATTATGAAGACCTCTAGGCCGAAGTAGCCTTTTAGGCCAAAATTTCACAAGGCATGCTCCAGGGGTTTGCACCAGACTTCAGAGTAATTATCTTGTTTTCTTTGATTCTTGGTTACAGAATTCGAAATGGGAGCTTACTTTTATTTTCTGAAATAACACTTGAATGTTTCATAGTTTAAAAAACTAGAACTTTAGCTAGGCTCGGTGGCTCAGCCTGTAATCCCGCACTTTTGGTGAGTGGATTGCCTGAGCCCACAGGTTTGAGACCTGCCTGGCCAACTTGGTGAGACCTCATCTCTACAATAAATCAAAAATTAGCCGGGCGTGGTAGCACGTGCCTGTAGTTCCAGCTACTTGGAAGGCTGACGCGGAAGGATCGCCGGAGTCCAGCAGGTCGAGGCTGCAGTGGCCGGGAGTGGCCACTGCACTCCAGACTGGGTGAGAGTGAGACTCCAACTCAAAAAACAAAAAACAAAAAAAAAAACTTGAACTTTGGACTAAAATTTCATAATAAAATATCCAGAGACTGTCACGCTTGATATTGTCACTCCAATATGTATATGGTATTTCCTTATGATGGTGGGTTCAGAACAATATTTTGCCAAAGAGAGCTAAATGGAACTCATCTTTTTTTTTTGAGTTGAAGTCTCACTCCGTTGCTCATGCTGGAGTGCAGTGCCACACTCACGGCCATCCCAGTGTCGACCTGCTGGGCTCTGGCGATCCTTCTACCTCAGCCTTTGTGGTAACCGGAACTATAGGCGCAGGCTACCATGCCCAGCTAATTTTTGATTTATCGTAGAGACAAGGTCTCACCAAGTTGCCTGGTCTGGTCTCAAACCCGTGGGCTCAGGCAATCCACTAGCCTCAGCCTCCCAAATTGCTGGGATTATAGACTGAGCCACCGAGCCCTGCTGGAGCTCATCTTTTGGTAACCTTTTATTTTATATAAGTTCATACTTACACAAAAGTTGCAATAATAGGAAAAGGAATGCCATATACCTTCTATTCTGATTCATTGTTGTTTGCATTTTGTCTCATTTGCTCTCATATTTTAAAACTATTCAAGAGTAAGTGTTTAAGACATCATGGCCATCTACTACCAATTACTTTCACGTATATTTCATAACAACCTACTCGTTGTAGATCTTTTGATGATTTTTCTAAAGCTTCATCATATTTCTTCTGTATTATTAGTTGGCATTTTACCATATGAACTCATGGATTTCTAGTTTATTTGGTGGGTTTTGATTCTTTGCTATCGTTGTTTATTTATTTATTTATTTATTTATTTTTGAGTTGGAGTCTCACTCTGTCACGCAGGTTGGAGGACAGTGGCACGCTCCTGGCCACTGCAGCCTCAACCTACTGGGCTCAGGCCATCCTTCCACCTCAGCCTTCCAAGTAGCTGGAAATACAGGTACACACCACCATACCTGGCTAATTTTTTTATTTTTTATTTTTATTGTAGAGATAAGTTCTCGCCAAGTTGCCCAGGCTGGTATAGAACCCCAGGGCTCAGGCAATTCTCTCACCTTGGCCTCCCAAAGTGTTGGGATTATAGGCGTGAGCCACTGCTTCCAGTCTCATTGTTTATTTTGATTCTCAATTTTTGTTCCAGGTTTGGCCAATAGCAACTTCTTTGAGCTTGCTCTTGTGTTCTTTTGACTTGTCCCCATCAATATTTGAACACTTTTTATTTTTTGAGTCTGTAAGATTTCCATGTTCATCTTGTCTTTTCCAACTCCAGTCCTGGTATCAGCCATGAATCACTTCTCCAAGAAGTACCGATTCCTTTTAGTGGAGAATGGCACTCAGAAACCACGATTCTGGGTGCTAGGAGTGCTAATTGATAAGTAGGCCAGAAAAATTTCTTAAAATAACATTTACCTGTTTTATTTATTGTAGCAAATATACTACTCTCCTCACAGATAGTGAAAACAGGCTATTGCTCTTCCCATCCATGTGAGTACAGCTTATTATATAAAGTGTTTCTCAGAAATAATAACTATGTGCATAAATTTCTTTTGGTACTTTATTAAGCAAAAAAATATTAAAATTATAAGCAGAAACCCAAGAAAACCAATAATTGCCCACAATTCCGACATCTAATTAGCATTATCATGTGTCTCATTATGTATTGTATTTTACATAGTTATGTAGATGGCATAATATTTAAGTAGTATAAAATACTTTTATATTCTACATTCAACTGTTAGTATTTCTCTATTTTGCTATAGTCTTTTTTTTTCTTCATCTTTTCTTTGTCCCTTTTCTCACATTGTGAGGTAACCAACGTTAACAGCTTGGTGTTTATTTCGTCACATTTTTTTCTATGTTCTTATGCTCCTATACAATAGGTATATAGAATTTTTGGGGGGGTGAATATTATTTTCCTATAAAAAAAGAGGATCATACTATTTACATTTTCTTTTTTTCCCCATTATTACTGATCTCCCAGTAGATTAATTGGTACAGGTCTAATGCTTTAAAATACCACTAATATTCAATAGTATATAATTTCTCTTTGCATGTTTATATTCTTTTTGCCATTTGAGAACAATTTGTTTGAACGCTAATTACTTAAGTCTGCCATCTTAATTTTTTAGGAAACCAAATAAAAGAGTAGAAGTGGTCCAGCTGAATGAAGTGATGGATGCTATGCTAGAGAGGGCTGGTGTGGAAAATCAGGAATATACAGGACCAACCAAGGTAACTGCAAAGGTCAATATAACCTAGTAGTTAAGAACATGCACTCTGGAGGCAGAATGCCTGAGTTGGAATCCTGACCTTATCATTTATTAGCTTGTGACCTTGGACAAGTCATTTAATGTATTTCTGCCTCAATTTCCTCATCTGTAAATTAGAGATAATAATAGTACGTACATCATAGGGTTTTTGTGGAGATTAAATGACATAATCAAGTACTTAGAATAGTGCCTGACATGTAGTAAACACCGTTTAAGTAATTATTAGAATTATTGTTTTGTTAAACTATGGCACTATTGATTACATGACCCTTTTAAATTTATATACCACTAAAAAACATTGCCAATTAAACCATTCTTCCTTACTGTTTGTGATTTTTACTTTTGCACTTAATGTAAGAAGTCTTGCAGTGTTACATATATAGAGATTTATTTTTTTCTTTATGAGGACTATTTCTTTTTTGTTCTATAACTTTTTATTTTGTTTTGTTTTTTGAGTTATGGTCTCACTCTGTCACCCAGGCTGGAGTCCAGTGGCATGATCACAGCTCACTGCAGCCTCATTCTTTCCCCTTCTCCTGGACTCAGATAACCTTCTGCCTCAGCCTTCCTAGTAGCTGGGACTATAGGTATGCACTACCATGTCCGGCTAATTTTTATTTTATTTTTGTAGAGATGAGGTCTTGCTATGTTGCCTAGGTTGGTCTTGAATTCCTGAGTTCAAGCAATCTTCCCGCGTTGGCCTCCCAAAGTGTTGGGATTATAGGCATGAGCCACCATTTCCAGCAAGTAAATTTTATTGGTACAGAATTTGAAACTTACAGAAAAATTCAATCCAAGGCACTGCTTGTAAACTTTACCCAGGTTATCTATCCAATTGTTTATTTGTACCCTATTTGCTTTATCATTCTTTTCCCTTCTCTATATTCTGAACCATTTTGGAATAAGTGGGAAACATCATGCCTCTTTAACACCACATACTTCAGGGTCTATTTCCTACAGACAAGGGCATTCTTTTATATGTCTATAATATAGTTCTCAAACTCAGGACATTTAATATTGATATGATAGCATTATCTAACATAGTCTGCATCCAGATTTCACATTTTGTCAGTCATCCCTATAATGGCTTTTATAGCTACTTTTCCCCTTTAGTCCAGGATCCCATGATCACCCAGTGTTTCTAGTTGTCATGTTTCTTTCTTTAATCTGAAGCAATTCCTCAACCTTTCTTTGTTTTTCTTGATCCTGATATTTTGAAACACTCAGGCCAGTTATTCTGTAGAATGTTCCTCAATTTGGTTTGTCTGATGTTTACTTATAATTAGATTTAGGTTTTATACTTTTGGCAGGTATAACATAGAGCTGTATTATATAAAGAGGCACATGATCAGATGATTAGATAGATTTTTAAAAAATCATATATTACCCTTTATATATCTCTATATATATTTCATATATATAAAAATACAAGTGAAGCGAATTAATCAAGATGTTTCTAAAACTTATTCACATTCAGGGTGCCCCCTAAAATGATTTTTACTGATAAGATTATAATAAGTACTGATTATGTTACTTATCTTTTTCCAGATGCACAAACTGCTACACATATTGAAAAAGGAACAAACCATTTATAATACAGTGTTTCATGAAGTTATCCGGCAAGTTAGTGTGGACTGTGCAGATAGGGGAGAGCTACTCTCTAAAATCAGGTTAGAGTTATTAGAATAATTCAGTTTTTAAAAATTTTAAATAAGAATTGTGGTTATATCTACTTTTGAGAAAGCCACAAAAGTACACCTTTCTATTCTACTGATAATAAGGAATCTAACTGTATAGTAAAAATACCAGTTAGTAGTTGAGAACTTCCTTAAGAGGATTTCTGTTGGGATATTTGATACCACATTATTTTATGATTGCAACATAGTGGGAAATGTATAGGTTCTTTCAAGTCAGACAGATCTGGTTCAAATCTTCATCCATTAATAGGTGAAAGTCCTGACCGGAGCCTCATTTTTCCCATATGTAAATGAAATTCCTAGCTTATGTGAAAGTTTTCATTGTCTATCTGTTCATTCATAAATCAATGATATTTATTATCTACTCTGTGCCAAGCATTGAGGTGCTTCATGAGATTTAAATGAGAACATAGAAGTAGGTACTCAATAAATATAATTATTATCATATGTAAATTAGAGGTAATGATAGTACTCACTTCATAGGGTTTTTGTGGTGATTAAATGACATAATAAATGTAGTGTACTTAGAACAATGTACTTTCTAAATGAAAAATACTATTGTTACTACAGTTCTTCTTTTGACTGTGATACTTTCCAAGAAACTGAAAGAATAGTAGAAAAAGTTGTTCTATAACTTTTTATTTTGTTTTGTTTTTTGAGTCATGTTCTCACTCTGTCACCCAGGCTGGAGTCCAGTGGCATGATCACAGCTCACTGCAGCCTCATTCTTTTCCCTTCTCCTGGACTCAGATAGCCTTCTGCCTCAGCCTTCCAAGCAGCTGGGACTATAGGTGTGCGCTACATATCTGCAGCTCACTTGCCATGGAACCATAGGCCGATTTTTAGATCTCTCTGGACATCAGTTTCTTCTAAATGGGAATTAATATTATCAGTTTGCCCTATTTGTCCACTGCCTGATTTTGAAACTGAGTTCCCTCTGCGTGGCAGTGCTGAGAAGCTAGGAACAAAGGCATTAATAAGAAACTCGTTAAGATTAGATATGCAGGAGTAAGTAGTTAGAATGCTATTGAGAGCTGGAGAGTGCCAAATTCAGAATGAGAATAGGGACAACTAAAGTCCAAGTTGTCGATCTTAAGGCAGGAGGTATAGATGAGGAAGCAAGGCAAAATAGCTAGATAACTAATGATGTATAGAAGCCTTCCCCTTAAGAGAGGTAGGTGTGGAAAGGACTATTCAACTGGTTTCAGAAGTTAGGTTCTAGGGGCCAAAATAGGGTGGAGTTATATCCCAAGGCATCTCAATAGAGACAGGTAGGCAAGTCAAAGCCCAAATAATTTAAGAAGAGTTGAATACCAGGGACCCAATTAAATTACTAAGTCCAAAGTGCCAGAGATAGGATTAGAGTAGGGCTTTAAAGCTAAGGATTTAGAATAAGGTAAAGATGGAAATAAGAGTACATAGTAAGTAAGAATAAGCGAAGTGCCTTCAAAATGATTGCTGCCAGTGTTCATGATGTATTCATGGAATGGTGAAACACTCAACAATTCCAAAATAATCTTGTAGCCAGCATTTTATTGTGATAAGGAGGTCTTTCCAAGGTCTAGGGACCACTTTCAATGGGGAAGATTTCTGTTGTCCTGAACCTGGCATTTTAAAGTATTCTCTGCTTCACAAGATTGTTGTGAAGATCCAAAAATCCCCAGTAAATGGTAACACTAATCCCTGGGAAGTACTTGCTATCAGCTTCCTCTCTTTGCATATTACTGTAGCTTTCTTTTCTGTCTCTAATTGAGTGCTTTCTGATCAATTTGTAGGTGTCTCTGCTTCACGCAAAAACTGCCTTTGAGGCCCATTGCTGCAGGAGGGTTTTGTAATGTATGCTTTTCTAGGGAGAAGAATAATTGTCAGATTGGATATGAGCTGAACAAACTCCCTCATTACACAGAAATAGGAATGCTACTATAGTTCTTTTTGGTTGACACTATATCTTTGGATTCAAGTACCTGACTTTTTTTTTCTTTTTTTTTGAGTTGGCGTTCTCACCCTGTTGCCCAGACTGGAGTGCAGTGGCATGCTCATGGCCACTGCAACCTCGACCTACTTGGCTCAGGTGATCCTTCAGCTTCAGCCTTCCAAGTAGCAGGAACTACAGGCATGCGCCACCATGCCCAGCTGATTTTTTGATTTATTGTAGAGATGAGGTCTCACCAAGTTGCACAGGCTGGTCTTGAACCCGTGGGCTCAGGCGATCCTCTCACCTTGACCTTCCAAAGTGCTGGGATTATAGGAATATGCTACCGTGCTCAGCTGGCTTTTTTTTCAATTTAAATTTTTCCAATATTTTATTGTGAAAATAAAATATGTATACTCACCATTTAGATTCTGCCATTCGTATTTTATCCTATTTGTTTTATTGTCTCTCTGTCTGTCTAGCCACCCTTCTAGCCATTCACCAGTTTCATGCATTTCAAAGTAAATTGAAATCAGTATATTTCACTGTAATTGCCTCAGAATTTTTTTCATTTTGGTAATTTTTATAAGAAAGGGGTCTCATAATATTGCCTGGGCTGGACTTGAACTCCTGCGCTCAAGTGATCCTCTTGCCTCAGCCTTCCGAGTAGCTGGGACTTCAGCTGTGCACCATTACGCCTGGCTACCTCAGCATTTTTGTCATTAACCAGAGTTCAATATTTATTTGCATTTGTTTTCTTTTTTTGAGTACAATTTGCATACACAGAAATACACAAATCTTGTGTACATTTGTTCACTCAAGCTTTCCCAGTAAATTCCCAGCCCCACTTTTCCAGACATTCTAATTCTTTTTTATATTAGTTTGCCTATTTAGAAACTTCATATAAGTGCAATGATATAGTATATACTCTATTATGCAAGATTTCTTTCATGTAGCATATTTTTGAGATTCATCCATATTGTTGCATGTATTGGTGGACTGTTCTTTTTTATTGTCAAATAGTATTTCATTGTATGAATGGAACAAAAGTAGTTTATCTGTTCTCCTTTTGACAAACACTGACTTTTTTCCAGTTTTGGATTATTATACATAAAGCTATCACAAACATTTTTGTATGGGTCTTCATGAAAATATGTTTTCATTTCTTGAGTAAGTACCCAAGAGTGGAATTGCTGATTATACCATTATTTACTACCACTAACAGCATATGGGAATACTGGTTGCTCTACATTTTTGCCAACATTTGATATCCTAAGTCTTTTTAAAAATTTTAACCATTCTGATGAGTGTGTATACTAGTATGCCTTTATGGTTTTAGTTTGCATTTCCTTGCCAATTGCTGTTGAGCATTTTTTCATGAGCTTATTTGCCATATATATTTTTGGTGAAATATTTTTACAATTCTTTTGATTATTTTTAAATTATATAGTTTGCCTTTTTATTATTGAGTTGCAGGGGTTTCTCATTAATCCTGGAAACTAATTTTTGTCATATGTATATCATGTATATCAGTTTTATTTATATACTATTTATATATATATATATATATATATATATATTTTTTTTTTTTTTTTT